TAGAGCTTAGATATTTGGCATGAAACATCTTCTAGTGAGTGTCTACCAAGTTTGTTGAAATAAAAGCCCTGGGGTCAAAATTGGCCCCACCCCAGGGGGTCATTGATTTTCCCTATATGTATATAGTAAAAACTTAAAAAATCTTCTTTTAACCTTTCCCTTATATAAGCGTGTTTCTACGGCTTTTTGCCCCCCCCTTTTTTTTGAGGCCTCAAACAGTGAAAAAATGCCCTATTTAGGCCCAAAATACTGTTTTTAGTTTGAAAAATGTTGTTAAAAGAAGTGACCACTTTTTCGGCGCCGTCCCCCATCCAAATATTACATCAGGGGGTTGCCAGAAGGGGGATGTGCCTCCTTTTGTTTGGGGGCTTTGAAGGGGGGCGGAGTCCCCCTCATCGCCAAGAAAATTTTGGACTTGTGACAGGCTAAAAATGGCCTCAGGTCGATCTTAGGGTAACTAGTAACCGACGCTGAAAAGCCTTTTACTCTATCTCAATTCATTGAGAAGTTGCAGCACTTTGAAATCAGTTTTGATGGAAAAAAACAATGCAAAATAGTGAGTTTTGGCAATTTTGAGACGTCCCCCCGTTGCCATGTTACAGGAAATTTACCATTGACCATGCTGTTACAGAGGCTATGGTGTAGTCAACATTTGTGCCAAGTTTCATTAGTATTGAAGCATTTTTCATAGTTTCATAGCAGTTTGAACTTGTAACAGGAGGCTTTTCAATGAAAACGGCCATTTTTCGCAATATGCTCATGGGGTAAAAGGTTAAAGAACCCAAAGAGCTAGAGCTAAGAAATTTAGCATGAAACATCTTCTAATGGATGTCTACAAAGTTTGTTCAAATAAAAGCCCCTGGGTCAAAATTGGCCCCATCCCAGGGGCAGGGTTTTACGGGACGCAGAATTCTGCGTCCCTATACGCATAAATTTTGACATGTACGCATAATTATAAGTTATCCACTTGCGTCCAAGTGTACGCACAAAAATAATCCTAGACAATAGATATTATTGTTTCTGGCCCAACATGATTTCATCTCTTTCTTCTCAAAGCTCACAAAATTCCATTTAAATCTAATACAGCGAGCAGAAAATGCTTGCATTGTTTATTTCGGAAGTTAACATAATTGAAATCTACTGCGCATGCTATTTGCAAGTGCCCGCTGCAGAAACTGATGACGTTTATCGTGCAAGCTACAGTAACTGATGACGTTTACCCTAAAATCTATTTTAGGTAGCTGTTTTTGGTGTTTCTGTTGCTATATTTAGACGGACTATTTATAACAAGCAATTACTATTGGTTAGCGTATCCAATGTCGATGCGAATGTATTTTGTACATGAACGGCGATAATAAGAAAGGCAGTGCTTTTTGCAAACTTATTTCATAGTGTTATAGAAATTAAGTCACTTGGTATGTTATTATCGTTGGTGTTATAAATATAATGGTTTCGGCGAACTTAACTTTTGACTGGGACATCAAGTATGTCCCAGCTTATGAGGAGGTGCAAAAGCGGTTTCGTCAGCCTTTTGTTATATGATATTTTTAAAAACGCAACATATTTAGCTGACTGGTCTGTAAAGTTATATATTGTGTGTTTACTAGTTCAGCTAAAATATTTACAAATAGATCAGTACAAATTTTCAGTCTGTTGGTGTAATCACCTTATCAATAACAAAATATGCCCCCAAATATGCCACTAAAACTTGACATTCCAGCCACTCAAAGACTTATAAGCCTTGGAAATAGCACATGAAAAAATCTAGTGATAAAAGATATTGAAATCATATACTTCTTATGAAAACAGTACAATATACATGCATAATTCTTACAGGGTAAATAAATGATTTTAAGCAAAATAGAGTGGTCTTCATAGTCTTTTATAGTGAATATAATTTTGGACCCCTAAAATTCAGGCCTGGACCCCTACTTTTCTAGGCTGTGCATCCACTGGACCCTAAAATTTCAAAGAGATGTAAAACCCTGCAGGGGGTCGTTGATTTTCCCTCATATGCATATTGTAAAAACTTAAAAAATCTTTTTTTAAAGAACCCAAAGAGCTAGAGCTCAGATATTTAGCATGAAGCATCTTCTAATGTGTGTCTACGAAGTTTGTTCAAATAAAAGCCCTGGGGTCAAAATTGGCCCCGCCCCAGGGGGTCATTGATTTTCCCTATATGCATATAGTAAAAACTTAAAAATCTTCTTTTAAAGAACCCAAAGAGCTAGAAATAAGATATTTATCATGAAACATGTTCTAGTGGATGTCTACCAAGTTTGTTCAAATAAGAGCCCTGGGGTCAAAATTGGCCCCACCCAGGGGTCATTGATTTTCTTAATATGTGTATAGCAAAAACTTAAAAAAATCTTCTTTGAAAAAAAAAACAAATAGCTTGAGTTTAGATACTAAGCATGAAACATCTTCTAGTTAGTGTCTACAAAGTATGTCCAAATAAAAGCCCTGGGGTCAAAATTGGTCCTGCCCCAGGGGTCATTCATTTTCCTTATATGTGTATAGCAAAGACTTAAGAAATCTTCTTTGAAAAACTCAAATAGTTAGACTTTGGATATTAAGCACGAAGGGTCTTCTAGTGAGTGTCTACAAATTTTGTTCAAATAAAAGCCCTGGGGTCAAAATTGGCCCTGCCCCGGGGGACACTGATTTTCCTTATATGTGTATGGCAAAATTTTAAATATCTTTTTTGAAAAAACCCAAATAGCTAGAGTTTAGCTATTAAGCATGAAACATTTTCTAGTAAGTGTCTACAAAGATTGTTCAAATAAAAGCCCTGGGGTCAAAACTGGCCCTGCCCAAGGTATGTGATTGTTTTTTAATGTATGTGTAAAGAAAAAACTTTCAAAATCTTCTTTTAAAAAACCTAACGACCTAGACCTTAGATGTTTAGCATGAAACATCTTCTAATGGGTGTCTACCAAGTTTGTTCAAATAAAAGCCCTGGGGTTTAAACTGGCCCCGCTCCAAGGCCTATATACAGGTGAGCGACTTCAGGGCCTTAATGGCCCTCTTGTTATAGAACTTATTGATGGATGATCACCAAATTATGTCTGTAGCATTCTTTAAAGGTAGTCTTTTATCAAGTTTGCTCATATTAATTTGATTGGCCCCTTTTAGGGGGCAGGTAAAGCTGAAAATAGGAAAACCTTTGAACATCATCTCCTGAAATATTTGATGGATGATCACCATATTTTGTCTGTAGCATTCTTGGGTAGTGTTTTATCAAGTTTGCTCATATTAATTATCCCCCGCCGATGGAATCGGGAGGGGGATATAGTTTTGGTGTTGTCCGTCCTTCCGTCCGTCCGTCCGTCCGTCCATCCGTCCGTCCGAATTTCATTTCCAGAGTAGTTCTCTGCAACTAATGGCTGGAATTCAAAGAAACTTTATGGGAATGTTGATCAGCATGTGAAGTTGTGCACCTGGGTATTTTCGTCTGGATATATTTAGTATTTTTAGAGTTATTGCCCTTGACTCAGTAAAATTTTGTCTGAATTTCGTTTCCGGAGTAGTTCTCTGCAACTAATGGCTGGAATTCATCGAAACTTTATGGGAATGTTAATCAGCATGTGAAGTTGTGCACCTGGGTATTTTCGTCTGGATATTTTTAGTATTTTTAGAGTTATTGCCCTTGACTTAGTAAAATTTTGTAATTTTCAACTTGTGTCGCATGTAACTCAAAAAGTATTTGACCTAGAGTCATGAAACTTTACAGGAATGTTGATCAGTATGTGTAGTTGTGCACCTGGGTATTTTCGTCTGGATATTTTTAGTATTTTTAGAGTTATTGCCCTGGACTTAGTAAAATTTTGTAATTTTCAACTTGTGTCGCATGTAACTCAAAGAGTATTTGACCTAGAGTCATGAAACTTTACAGGAATGTTGATCAGTATGTGTAGTTGTGCGCCTGGGTATTTTCCTCCGGATATTTTTAGTATTTTTAGAGTTATTGCCCTTGACTCAGTAAAATTTTGTCCGAATTTCATTTCCGGAGTAGTTCTCTGCAACTAATGGCTGGAATTCAATGAAACTTTATGGGAATGTTGATCAGCATGTGAAGTTGTGCACCTGGGTATTTTCGTCTGGATATTTTTAGTATTTTTAGAGTTATTGCCCTTGACTTAGTAAAATTTTGTAATTTTCAACTTGTGTCGCATGTAACTCAAAAAGTATTTGACCTAGAGTCATGAAACTTTACAGGAATGTTGATCAGTATGTGTAGTTGTGCACCTGGGTATTTTCGTCTGGATATTTTTAGTAATTTTAGAGTTATTGCCCTGGACTTAGTAAAATTTTGTAATTTTCAATCACAATCATCAGTCACACGGAGCCAGAAAAGGAGTTTCAAAAATGCAAAATTAAAAAATCTTGTCTGACAGTACAAGGCCTAGAGCTTTGATATTTGGTATATGATATAACATATAGGTCCTCTACCAAAATTGTTCAAATTTTAGCCCTGGGGTCAAAATTGGCCCCACTCCAGGGGGTCATAGATTTTCCTTATATGTATATAGTGAAAACTTAAAAATTCTTCTTGTTTGAAGGTACAAGGCTTCAAGTTCAAAGAATTTTACAGTTTATGCCATGATTAATATATAAATAAAGCCTTATGTCTTCAGTTGTTGTGTTAATTATAACCAGTACTCGGCGGGGGATATAAATTCAACGAATTTGCTTGTTTGATTTGCGTCATCTCCTGCTGAAATAATTGATCTTTTTCTGCAGCATTCTTAGGTACTCTTTTGTCAAGTTTGCTCATATTAATTTGATTGGTCCCTTTTCAGGGCTTTTAAAGCGCAAAATAGAAATACCTTTAAAAGTCAGCTTCTACAGAACTAATTGATAGATGATCACCAAACTTTGTCTGTAGCATTCTTAGGTTGTCTTTTATCTTTTACTGAAAAGCAGTTGTTTCTCTTGAGCGACTCAGGGCCATCATGGCCTTCTTGTATAATTAATTGTTTATTTATTTTAATAGCTTCAGAAAACTGTGAGGATTCAAAATGCTGCGAGGAAGATTCAGAATGCTGTGAAGATTGGATAGACAATGCAGCTATAGCTTTTATAGCGATTCCATGTGTAGCTCTAGTTGCATCTGTTGTCATATTTATCCTGGTGAAGTGTAAGTTTTCAATATCATACCTTTCTTTTCTTATAGGCCTGAAACAGCTTATCATATAATGTCAAACATGTATGTAATGGTTCAAACTGTTTTGTCAATAAATATCAAATGCAAGGACCTCATTATTCTTAAATGAAGCAGAATAAATTTTTAGGAAAAAGTGTTTTTAAAAGGTTTCATGAGAGGCAGAAAAGTAATGCCCCTATGTGGCTGAGGTGTTGCCTTAAAAGGTTAAGGCATCAGAATTGCAGCTACCGATTTTCCTGCCTGATTTTTAAAGGCAACAAATGGGATCGAATTACTAGAGTTTGTACATCTGTTAGCTATTGGAGGTGAGATGGTTTTTTAGCTCACCTGAGCTGAAATTGACAGTTTAAGAGTGAAATGAAAAATTAAATAAAAACTTATATTTTTCAGTGGATAAAATTGGACCTGGCTGTAATGGTAAGATTTTATAATGTTTCACTTATTTGCTCATCCATCATCTTATTTCTTTCATTTAAATTTCACTTTTCTTTTCAATCAGCTATTTTTGTTTTCCCACCTCAGAAAGTAAACATTTCTTTTATCAAAGAAGGAGCTAACATTATACATAGTACCTTACAGGCTTTTTATGCCCCCATTAAGGGAGGCATAATATCATAACTCCATCAGTCTGTCCATCTGTGTGTCCCCACTTAATTCGTGTCTGGACTGTAACTTTGTGATACATTGAGGGATTTTTAAATAACTTGGCACAAATGTCTACCACATCAACAAGATGTGTCCCATCCAAGAACCACGTCCCTACCTCAAAAGTCAAGGTCACACTATCATTTTGAAGTTTCACATTATCACAATTAAAGGAAATAACTACGCACATTTGTGTCTGGACTGTAACTTTGTCATGAATTGAATGATTTTAAGATAACTAGGCATAAATGTCTACCACATTAACAAGATGTGTCGTGTCCAAGAATTACGTCTCTATCTCAAATCTCAAGGTCACACTATCATTTTGATGTTTCACGTTATCGCAATTAGAGAAAATAGGTACAGACATTCGTGTCCAGACAGTAACTTTGTCATGCATTGAATGATTTTTGAATAACAAGGCATAAATGTCTACTTTATCAAGACCATGTTTCTCGTCCAAGAATTATGTCTCTACCTCAAAGGTCAAGGTCACACTATCAATTTGAAGTTTCACAATATCGCAATTAGAGAAAATAGGTACACACATTTGTGTCTGGACTGAAACTTTGTCATGCAATGAACGATTTTAAAATAACTAGGCATAAATGTCAAGCACATTAAGACAATGTGTCGTGTCCAAGAATTACATCTCTACCTCAAATCTCAAGGTCATACTATCATTTTGATGTTTTACATTATGGCAATTAGTGGAAATAGGTACACACATTCGTGTCCGGACTGTAACTTTGTCATGCATTGAATGTTTTTAAATTACTAAGCATAAATGTTTATCACATCAAGACGATGTGTCGCGTCCAAGAATTCCTTTCTACCTCAAAGGTCAAGGTCACACTAACATTTTGAAGTTTCACATTATCACAATTAGAATTAATAGGTACACAATCGTGTCCGGGCTGTAACTTTGTCATGCATGGAAGGATTTTAAAATAACTGGGCATAAATGTCTGCCACATCAAGATAATGTGTCATGACAAAGACCCATGTCCCTACCTTCAAGGTTAAGGTCACACTTACAGTTTGAAGGTACTCATTCTCTCGAGAAGAGTTTTAAGACTGATACACATTCATGTCCAGACTGTAACTTTGTCATGCATGGAAGGATTATAAAAAACAAATGTCTACCACATGAAGACAATGTGTTGCAGCTAAGGCTCATGTCTGTCCATGCGTGTGTCAATCATGTCCAGACTGTAACTTTGTCATGCATTAAGGATTTTTTAAATTATTTGGCACAAATGTCTATCTCATAACAACATTTTGTCGCATCCAAGAACCGTGTCCCTTCTTCAAAGGTCAAGGTCACACTTATATTTCAAAAGTTCATGCTATCAAGAACAATATTCAGCAATTACAGTCCAACCCTGGTTATTCGACAACCTTTTATTTGAATACAAGGCATTATCTGAAGTAGATCGGCGGTCCCATTTTTTTATCTCTATGTAAATCAATATAAATTTGAAGGTATTATTCAAAAAGCATTACCCTATTACCTCCTATTTTTCGAAGTAAAATTTCGGCCTCAATTATACAATTATGAAAAAATTTCACACCTATTATTCGAAACCAGACAATTATTGGGGCAGATCCACTTGCTGACCATTCTACTTGTGAAAAATTTTCAACAGCCATGTGTGTTATTAGACAAACGTGATCATTATGCTTGGGTGTTCTTTTATAAACTTTAATTACCGAAAATGAAAAATTATGCTCCTTGTCCGATGTTACTGTTATTGCTTGAAGATGACAGTGATAATTTTCATAAATGCTCTAAATGTGAATCTTTCAAAATAGCCAATTTTTTGTTTTCTTCTTCATTAATTGTAACGTTACATGACAGCATTTACCTCGAAAATACTAGAGTTTTGCTGTAAAGACCGTATTGATAGCACGGCCATTATCAAGGCTTTGCACGAAACAAAAAATACATAATGTAGAATAAAATGCAAGTATTTATGTCTTCAATGCCAATAAAAAATTATTTTTATGTTTCTTTTCTTATCCTTCTCAATTGATTGCAGGAAACGAGTTTGTTGTAATCTGTAGTTATACTATGATTTGCCAAAGTGGAGTAGTTTTCGTCTATCAAAATATTCCGATTTAGATTATTCGAACCCATCGATTATTCGAAGTAAATTTCAGTCCCCATCACTTCAAATAAATGGGTTGGACTGTAGTTACTTTCATTCTCTTTTCTTTTCATAATACTTGCATGCTTAAGAACCTTTTCAGGAGCATTTGTCACTTAGGTGACAGCTCTTTTCTTAATTTGAAAGAACAAGTTTTAGGTGCCTAAAATTGGCAAGTTTTGTTAAGACTGTTGTATATTTCTGTGCTTGCTTCTTTTCATGATACATTAATACTGGAATGATCTGAATTGCCATGTCAAACCATTAGACCATTTGTGACAAAGTTACTTAAAGGTGGCATCAATTTTACCCCAGCAAATTCCCTTTTTGTCATTTTAAAAATATAACCTGGTATGGTTAAAACCTTATCTTTTTCATATATTAGTATACCCTTGACCTTGAAGGTCAAATTATTGAAATTTGTTAAAAGCAGCATGCCCTCAGAGTCATGCTAATTTTTATGAAAAATTTGAAAATGTATTTAAAAGTTAGCTTTTTTTGTAGTGAATAAAGAAAGTAATTAACACATTGCACATTCCACATTGCACAAGTCCATTGACATATGGAAATGAAACTTTGCACACTTGGTTACCATCTGTAGACAGGAGGAGGTAACCGTATCAAGCATTTTGACAGAATTGTGCCCCTTTTTCTGTAATACCTCAAATATTTTCAAAGTCCATAGACATATGGCTTTGAAACAAGTTGAAATTTGATTCTCTTCTTTGAGAGCATAATAGGACTCTCTCCAAGGCCTTTAACTGTAACATGGATTTAAAGAAAAAATTTGCGCTTTTGTTTATTTAGAAAATTTTACATTATTAAGGCTTTTATTACTATCAAGCACTAAGAATAGTTGAGCGTTGCTGTCCTACTGACAGCTCTTGTTTAAATAACTTGGCACAAGTGATCATCATAATGAGATGATGTGCAGACCGCAATAATTGAGTTGCTACCCCCAAGGTCAAGGTAAACTTTTTTTTCCTTTATGGTAGATTTTAAATAACATGGCACAAATAATCACCATTGTGAGGCTAGGTCAAGGTCACACAGGTCAAATGTTAGAAATTCAAAATTTCATGTCTGTCCATAACATTTAAACTACTGCAATGTTTTGAAGATAACTTGGCAGAAATGATCAACATTATGACACCATTCGCAGAGCACAATAATCAAGTCAAATCCCTGGTCAGGTCAGGATCACACTTAATGGTTAAAAAATCTATTTTTCATGTCCACTCTATAACTAATTGACAATTCAAAAAATCTAAAATTACTTGGCACAAATGATCCCCTCCATGACCAAATCTGCAGAGCTCAACATCAAGGTTGCTATCCCCAAGGTCAAGGTTATATATTCTCCATAACTTTTTGACTTTATGGAAGATTTTAAATAACTTGGCACAAATAATAACCATCATGAGACTATGTGCTTATGATATGCATGGCATAACATCAAGGTCATGGTTTGTTGAAGGTCAGGAAGTACACATTCATGTCCACTGCGGAAGGGGATTTAGGTGTCCTTCAGACTGCCTTGTTGTCCCCCGCCTTTTCGAAGAAAAAAGGGGGATATAGAAATAGGCTCCGTCCGTCTGTCCGTCTGTCCGTCTGTCCGTCTGTCTGTCCGTCCGTCCGTCTGTCCGTCTGTCCGTCCGTCACACTTTCGTGTCCGGTCCATAACTTTGTCATTTATGAAAGGAATTTGAAATAACTTGGCACAAATGTTTATTATAATAAGACGATGTGTCATGCGCAACAACCAGACCCCTACCTCCAGGGTCAAGGTCACACTTGCTCATTCAAGGTCAAAATTGCCTATTTGAGGGTATATGTCGTGTCCGGTCCATAACTTTCTTATCTATGAAGGGATTTTGTAAATACTTGCCATAATTGTTCACAATAATCAGACGATGTGTCATGCGCAAAAACCAGTCACCTACCTTCAAGGTCAAGGTCACACTTGGAGGTCAAATATTAACATAGTCTGTTACAGGGTATATTTCGTGTCCGGTCCATAACTTTCTTATCTATGAAGGGATTTTGTAAATACTTGCCATAATTGTTCACAATTATCAGACGATGTGTCATGCGGAAAAAGCAGTCACCTACCTTCAAGGTCAAGGTCACACTTGGAGGTCAAATATTAACATAGTCTGTTACAGGGTATATTTCGTGTCCGGTCCATAACTTTGTCATTTATCAAAGGAATTTGAGATAACTTGGCACAAATGTTTGTTATAATAAGACGATGTGTCATGCGCAACAACCAGACCTGTACCTTCAGGGTCAAGGTCGTACTTGTTCATTCAAGGTCAACATTGTCTATTTGAGGGTATATGTCGTGTCCAGTCCATAACTTTCTTATCTATGAAGGACTTTTGTAAATACTTGCCATAATTGTTAACAATAATCAGATGATGTGTCATGCGCAAAAACCGGTCACCTACCTCCAAGGTCAAGGTCACACTTGGAGGTCAAATACTTACATAGTCTGTTACAGGGTATTTTTTGTGTCAGGTCTATAATTTTTTCATAGATCAAAGGATTGTGAAAATACTTCGCACAAATAGTCACAATAATAAGAGGATGTGTCATGCGCAACACCTGCATCCCTACCTCCAAGGTCAAGGTCACACTTAGAGGTAAAAAAATTAACATAGTCTGTTATAGGGTATATTTTGTGTTGAATCTAGAACTTCTTCATAGTTCAAGGGATTTTGAAATAACTTGGCACAAATAGTCACAATAATAAGACGTTATGTCATGCACAACACCTGCTCCCCTACCTCCAAGGTCAAGTTCACACTTAGAGGTCAAAGCTTAACATGATAGATTTTTAAATTCCGTGTTTCATTTTATTTTTTAACAAATTTATTGTTACATTTGCAGATCTAGCATTGATCATAATTTTGGACTGAATGTCCTGAGATCCATACCTCTATCTTTTGAAATAGCACAATTTTATGCTTCATATAAAACTCCCGGGGCGGGGGACGTTGGTAACTCTGTTACAAATTCTTGTTATAATTGATACGGATTTGATTCATTCTTGGAAAAAAGAAACATTATTGTTGCATATGACAAAACTGACATGAATTTATTAAAATGTTACCTTGATCTTTGAATGACATTAACTGTAAATTTGAATTTTATTCTTTACAAGAAAATTATGTTTTCCAGGAGTACTTTTAACTATAGTATTCCTCTTATGTGTTTGACTTAAGAAATAGAAAAGTCGAGTGTGGTCTCTGCTAAATGTTATGGGAAGGTTTGGGACTTTCATTTTACTTCAAACCCAGAAAGTCAATCGAAGTTTGACATAATATTTATAGAAGATTATCTGTGTTTATATATATTCACACTGGACATTTATGATATATGTAAGTAGTCACAGGGACTGCAAATGAAGTTTGGGCATATTGTAAAGTGTCCTATGGACATGTTCTAGTTTATTCTTGTTTCTGTTTTTTCCAGATGACAAAAAATCTGCTCCCCTATAGACTCCCTATGGAGTGATAATGCATGGAGAAAAAGACTTGAGCAAAAATAAAAGATGAACTTTACTTTTTTCATTTTTGTCTTCTTTGTTGGATTTTTTTTTGTTGTTGTTGAGTTTTTGATAAAAGATATCTGGCTCATCGTCTGTTTTCTGTTGATTATTCTCTCCTTAACATACATTTAATTCTGCCTTTATTATTCTTTCTTGAAATACTTGCTTTGAATTTATAGCTAATTCTAACTGAAAATTGGGAATAATTGCGGAGGTCATATTGCACTTTGTATATGTATATATTTCACATTACATTCATGTCCAAGATAAAAGTTATGTGCAGTATATCTTAATTACAGTGGCCACCCTGTTAATGCTTGTGTATTGTCTTAGTGCATGACTCAGTACATAAGTGTTTCAAGCTATGCAGCATCTTGTAATCCTTGTATAATGTTCACTCTATTTATAAGTCATTTTATAATTACAGATTTTGTTTTTTGTATCACTTTATATGTCAGAGATAATGTCTAAATACCCATAATTATACTATGTTGCTTGTTGCTCTATTTAAGACTTAGGCTTGTAGATTGTCACTTTGGTCCTGTGGATTTTAATTTATGTTCAATCAAATATATTAGGAAGAAAATGTATGAATTTAGAGCATGATACAGTAAGCTGTTTGTGTTTTATATTGAAAAGTTGGCAAGTATGTAGCTATGAGCTTTGATTCATATGTTTGATTTAGTCACCAATAGCATAGTGAGGTATTATAATGGACTCCCTGTCCACTTAAAAGTTGTAAATGTAAACAGAATATTTTCTAAAGTTAAAAATGTTAAAGATTAAGAACTTAACATCAAACTACATAATGCCAGTATAGATCATCTATGTTGAAATTCATAACCATTTTCCATCATTCATAATAATATCAAATTTTGAGTACTCTCACAATGTTGGTATATTTTCCAGGACATTAAGTGTGCTCAATAAAAGACTACATCTTGAGTGACTGCACAGAGACAAAATTTTTATTGGACACAAATGTTCCATATGGAGAACTGTGAATTAATTGTTATTTTTTAAATCATTTTTTGTTTGTCTTGTATGAAAAAAAGAACTAGTCAAGGCTTGTTTCTAAGATAAAGTTTAATCTAAGGTTACATGTTTTTCAAAAAGTGAAAAGCTCAAAATTTTAATATTGTCAGACTACCCTTCCATGAATAAGTATGGTTTATCAGTTAGCTATACTGTGTTTTTATGGCATATAAAATTGTTGGTTTGTTGCATGATCTACTTTGGCTGGATTGAATCTGTTTCTAGTTATCCTGGTCCTGTGTGACTGGATATTTGTTGGAAGATGTATTCCGTGAATGTCCATCTGCCTTGCTCATCTCCTTTTTGTAGTTTGCTGTGGTACTAATTCATACCAAGTCATGTGTAATGTAAAATTAATTTGTTGTGAGTTTCATATTTAAAATATAATATTTGGGGGGATTACAGTTTGATAGTACAACAATTATTAAGTCTAACAGAATAATAATTAATTACCATTTGAACATAGTATATAGAACATAGAATATAATAACAGACAAATATACAGACGATTATAGTGTATGGATAATACAAACATGATAATCTGTGTGAATGTTTAAAAAAAACATAATCAGCTGTTCTAGCAAAGAAGTTTGTGATAAGTGTGTTCTGAAACTTGTTGCCATCAACCTACTGTTGGGTAATTTAGTGTAATTAATTATATGCACTCTAGTTTTATATATATAATAGAACTCATTTTGAAAAGACAAAATGTATAGCAGATTAAGAAGTGAAACACGGAGTCTTTTCCATAAAAATGTATTAAATATTAATTTTAAACTTGAGACACACAGTAATCATATATATCTTCTTTCTTGATAAAGTAATAACATTAATTTTGAATATTTTTGTGCTATCAGATGCTTAATCTTTGTTAAATAGGGAAATAATTTAAATGTGAACATGAATAAGGAAATAATGTGAATGTAGACTTAAATAAGGAGATAATGTGAATGTAAACATGAATAAGGAAATACTGTGAATGTAGACTTAAATAAGGAGATAATGTAAATGTAGTCTTAAAGAAGGAGATAATATAAATGTAGACTTAAATTATGAAGGAGATAAAGTTAATGTAGACTTAAATAAGGAGAAAATGTAAATGTAGACTTAAATAAGGAGAAAATGTAAATGTAGACTTAAATAAGGAGATAATGTAAATGTAGTCTTAAAGAAGGAGATAATATAAATGTAGACTTAAATTATGAAGGAGATAAAGTTAATGTAGACTTAAATAAGGAGAAAATGTTAATGTAGACTTAAATAAGGAGAAAATGTAAATGTAGACTTAAATAAGGAGATAATGTAAATGTAGTCTTAAAGAAGGAGATAATATAAATGTAGACTTAAATTATGAAGGAGATAAAGTTAATGTAGACTTAAATAAGGAGAAAATGTTAATGTAGACTTAAATAAGGAGAAAATGTAAATGTAGACTTAAATAAGGAGATAATGTAAATGTAGACTTAAGTAAGGAGATAATGTGAATGTAGGCTTAAATAAGGAGATAAAGTTAACATAGAACAAGCTTCAATTTTTTATGCTGCATATTATCATAGGTCAGTCTGCCTCTCTCATGCTAGAGTTATTAAAATGAAGTTGACACAATTTGTAGATCTTCACATTTTATACATTAAGTGTGGTTGTATTTTGTCACAAATTTTATAAATCTTTACATTTTAACATCTGTGCAGAACAAAAAATGAGAGCTTCTTGTGTGTGATATTATACCATATACTGTAATAATTATTCAGACAAGCCAATAAACTGGTACACTGATGTACTAATTTTTTCAGCTTACAAAGCTAAGGAAGCTAAAGAGCCAGGCGAGAATCACGGGATGACGGGAACATCTATGTAAATAAAGACCAGAGGGAGAAAAAAGCAGTGTATTTAGTCTAATGGAAAAGTCATCGTTCTACTATGTCGGATAAAAGACATCAAACTTTATCTTGGCTCTCTTTTTTTTACAAAAGACATTAAACTTTATCTGTGCTTTTTCTTCAAATATGTATGGAATATTTAGTTCTGTTTCAAAACATTTTCTTTTCTTTTCACAGTATGAATAATGTTCTTACTTTAATATCTAACTTTACTGTGAGAACAAAATCATGATTTTTTTTTTATTTCTTTCAAATGTACAGACTTTAATATAACAGCAAGAATAAAAAGTGAATGAATTTCTTAAATTTGGTTATTAGTCCCTTAACCAGAGTTTGCCCTAACTCTCATATGGATATCTAGGATGGTTATGAGAACACAGTAGGGAACAATTAATCTATTTATTATGGATAGTAATTCTTTAAAAAGATCAATGGTGTAAACAAAAGGGTAGCCACTTGGGTAATTATTTGTGAGGCTGCGCATCTTGGCCAATTGCTGTTTGAAATTCTAAAATGTTCCTGCTGTAACTTATCACCATTATTGATGTACTTGAGTATGTGAGGAAATATCAATATAGAGATTATGCATATGAACTTTTTTTTCTTTGACTGTCACAATAGAAATAGCAATAATCAAAAGTTACACTTCAAGAGGTGAATGTAAGGAGTATTTCATTGTACATGAGACAATGTGCAAATATATTGAGTATGAAGTGGTGTTGCTGTTAACTAAAATATGGACTTTGATTGTCTGAAGGAAAATTGGAAGGGGACCTTAGCAGAAGTTCTGGATGTGTACACAAGTGCTTTGTTTATTGGCTTGTCTGAAATGGACATATAATTTGGATATTGATGTTTTATCATTTAATCTGCCTGGCACAGTATTGAAATGTGTTTTCTTTAGAAAACTGTTAATACAACATCATAATGTAAAAGGTTTGCTGCATAAATCATACACATTGACAAAAGAAATCACAGTGTTTCCTGCCTAAATCATGGATGAATAAAAAGCTGAACATATTTATATTGTTTAAAAGATTTAGATTTTTCACATAACAATGCTGTGCTGTATGTAGATGTAACATTTATTTGCATGTTCATAGATATTTCTGCTTTTTATGTACCTACAAACTTACCAACCAAGTACTGCTTGAATTTTAATCATTTTGCATGTTCAATAGTAAAGGCGGGCTCCACTGAAGTCAAAAAGTTTATTATTATATAAAATTTCAAAATATTTCATAAATTAAGTTGGGAATATAAATAGAAAATAATGAAAAAGATAATAAAGAAATATACAAAATATTGCATTAAAAATCGATATAATATTTAGTGCAATTTTCAATCTTATTTGAGTTAAAGGAATTAAAAAGCTTTCCATTTTGATTTTGCACAATTTAAGTTAATATTATAGAAAAATGTAGTGAGCAAATGATCTGAAATAATTTTGCATACGAGTTACTGTAATTGACAGTCATTAAATGGCATAAAATTCTGGAAAAAACATTTTTCCATTCATATCAATAAACTTCAGTGGAGTCCCTTTAATTATCTGTTATTGATATTGTAAATAATTATGTGTGAGGATGCCCAGATGAACCAGTGACATACATGGTGCTTTATTGCTTTAATGCATGGCATACATTATAACACGCTTCTGTTATCAGCATACACAGCTTCATGCATAGATTACACTCTCCAAGAACGGCTTATGCAAAATTTAATCTCCAAGAACGGCTTATGAATGCACATGCTTTAATTTTATGGCTGAATGTGATTAAAATATGGCCATAATTTAAATAAAGTCTCTGGTTTTTTTTTTAACTAAACCTGTATAACTGGGATTCACAGATTCATTGTAAATTAGAATTTTTGTTGAACCATTGCAATTGTACATTGTATATAAGAGCTTGTTAAATGTTTTTTTTTTTCATATATTGATCTTTAACTGTTCTGTTTCAATTGAAATTAGCAAGCCTTGAATGGTACTGATATCATGTATGCATCAAAAATGAGGAGATCATCTCTGTTTGTCTACTGTATGACACTTTGAAATGTCTTTAATGTAATAGATAATCATTGTCAATTTAGTCATTTATATATTTATTTGTAAAGAGGGTTTTTTTGCTGTTGTAAATGAAACTTGAAAAGTTTTGATAGATAAAAGGGGTGAAAAAGTATGTTTTTTTATTATACTTGTACATGTTTGCATTAGAAACATTTTTTACATTTTTTTTAAAAAAAAATTCATTAAAATCATAGTATTGAACGCAAAATTAAAGGAACTCCACTCGTGTCCAAAAGCCTTAAAACATAGAATTTGAATTTCCTACATAGATCAGCTTGGGTATTTTAAGTACTATAAGATATGCAAAAGATAATTGACACATGCACTTACAAAAATAAAATTAAAATCATATTTTCGTTTTATTCTTAGCTTGATTTGAGTGAAAACCATTGCAAATGTTTGTAAACTTTGGGTCTAAGCATAAAATGATTATCTCAAATTTTGCACACACAAGTTATTGATCAAGATCTACTTTCAAATTGAACTTAAATTTCAAAAAATTATTTCCAAGTCTGTCATGTAAAAAAAAATTCAAGTGGAGTTCCTTAAAAAAAAAAAAGAAGAAAAAAAAGATGTAACAAATCTAAAAATGAATGTTTTCAAAGGCACTGAATGCTATTTTTATTCACCAGTGATGGTGCAAGCTATTAAACATATGTTTTATAAAAGAAAGTGTTAAACACTAAGCTAAGAATTAAGACAATCTAGGTGTCCATCAATCATTTCAATATAGTAGGATTAAACAGTGTGTATAAATTTTTACAGAACATTCTTTGAGGAATCATTGTTTTTTTTGGAGAGGGGGTGTGGGTGTTTTTTAATTAACATCATAAAAAGGCAATGTTTACTGTAAAATTAGAAAAAGTGTGTTACTTAGTTTTAAATATGTACATTTTGTGTTTCAATGTTTTCTTTAATTTTAAAAGTTGTTACCTACAAGTAAGGAGTGTTATCACCTGATTTAAAAGATGTTTCTGTAATAGAGTCTAGATAATACTTTGTTGTTGAAAATTTTATAAATGTATGAATCAATGCTTTTTGTTCTCTTTCAATTCTTTCAATGTGGATAATTTTGATGAACGTTCCTGCATAAAAAAACCTGCAGAAGGTATATAAAATCAGTTGTTTCAATTTTAAAGACTCTTATAACTACAAAGTGGCTTGTCTAATAAGTTCAGTATTTTACTGAAGGACCTTGATCCAATCTTGAAGTAAATTGACAATAATTTATTGTTTTGAGATATTTCATGTCTGAAAGCCATTGACATCAACAAAATTGATTACTTACTTGCTGAAAACTAAATAGTTACTTACAGCAGACTCTAGAAGCATTTGATTTTCAATTGTCAAGTTAACAGAAAATAAATGTTGTTTTAAAATATATGAAGTTTCATCTAGGCTCTATGATGAGGGGAAATGCATTACTTTGTAAATCTGTGGCTCAGACAATATAAGAAGTGCTGCATTTCACTCTTCAATCATATTTAACTATTGTTGTTGTTTTTTAAGTATTAAGTGAATTTGTTTGTTCAATGTTCATTTAAATATTTCTTTTATTGCAAAATAAAAGTCTTTTTAACATACATGTTTTAAAATGCAGAGAGACTCCTGGTTCAAGTAAAAAAAAAACCTTTTGAATTATAGATCACCTTTAAAATTAGCTCATAATTATGTTTTCTTTTTTACCTTTAGTTCTTTTAGAGGTGGTCCAACACTTTTGTATAACATCAGATGTTTTTAATTGAATTAATAATGTTTTAAAACTATAACTGTTTTACAACCATATATGCCTGCTATGATTAATATGACTAAAATTAATAGATTTTTTTTATTTATATTTAATTTTTTTAAATAAGGTACAGTATTTAAGATGTCCAGACAAAAAAAGGTGATAACAAAATCATATTTTATGTTTAATAAGTACAGAGCCAAAACAGGTTGGCTTTTTAAGAAACAATTCAAATTAAAGAATATCTTTATACACTTACAATTTAGATACAGTAAAAATATTATAATTCAAGAGAAATTTTCATTTAGATATAATTTAATCGGAAATGTTACCTGAAAAATCAAATGAATTAATAGATTTTAGGAAACATCGTTATTATCTTAAGTTTACAATTTGTATAGTTCTGAAAGTGCCATACAACAACTTTTGTAAATATTTATAAACCATTGTATTTTGATTTTACCATTCACTTGAATCACTTTGTAGAAAAGCAAATTCACAAAGGTTAGTGTATATTATAGTGTGTTTAGTGTTATTTATGTCTTTGTTTTTAGTCACATATTTTACCTCTTATTCATTAATTTGATATTTTTAAATTTAATAATACAGATCCCTATTCTCATTCATTCAAGTAACTGAGAACATATTTATTTCTTAGATTATTTACAATCTGAATATAACAGTTGAAAGAAAATGTCTCATGTATCAAATATTTAACTTTATACAAAAGCAAAGAATTAGAAATTATAGAAAAAACGACATAATTGATAAAGCAGAAATAAAAGATCAAAAGTAAAAGTATGTGGCTAATTTAACACTCCATTTTAAGTTCATGTCACCAGTAAAGTCACTCTAGCTCAAGTTCTGATGACTACCTCTGTTAAGTTCTTGTGTCACAGAAAAGAACAAGTTACTACTGAAAAAGAAATGTTCCTTATGCATGCACATTTTACTTGATATGTTATCAAGATATCGTGAAGATTCTTTGTCTTTATTTAAAA